TCCAGTCCTCAAAACACACGATGTTAATTTACTAGCATAAACACCTTTTTCACACTTCTGCTTTCTTTACCTTTGTGGAAGAAATGTTAGGTAACTGGATTATGAGGTGGGGGGCCCTTTGTCACGAGAGAAGGGTTAGTAGCTAAGGGAAGAGGTTGTAGACCTGTGCGAGAGTTAGAAGCCCATTTCCTAATCCAATGCAAGTACTTTTCATTTCTTTAAGACTTCGTTGCTGATATGCGTCCATGCTTCTGCTGTGTTGGTGTATGTTCTCAGTACCACAAACTGAGATTCCATGTTTACTTGGTCTATCCTACCCATGAGCAGAATACACCCAGCCCTTATCTCCTGTCAGGCTAACCTTGGAGGCTGTCTGAAGTTGGTCCATCAACGCTTATTCCTCTAGTCCTGTTTGGGTCTGATGTACATTCAGAAGGGGTTTTTTTTTCCTGCCAGCCAAAGTTTGTAGAACATGCAGTAAGAGAGACCTTACAGGCTTGGGCCAATACTTTTTATTAATACCAAGGAAATAATCAGCTGTGGTTTAAAATCTGTTTTTATTGTCAGTTTTTATTGTGAATTTCCCAGTTGTCTTAAGTTGACTAATTACTGTCCTTCTCTGGAGGGTGTGTCTACGGCCTCTGTAGTGCTTGGCATTCTCAGTCTGAAAATATGTTCCCCATTTTTGCCCCACAAGAAGGACCATGTCTTATGAACTCATGCAACTTGGTCCCTGAGTGGTATTCTGCTGATATTTCTAGAAAGCAGCATCTTTATCTACTGCAGAGAGAGCAACCTGTTGTAGGAGAATGGAAATATACTAGTCTTAAATAATCCTTGTTTTGTTGCTTGAAGGACTCTTTTAAAGGATTATTATACCGAATCAGTCAATCCTAAAAGAAATCAACCCTGACTGTTCCCTGGAAGGCCAGATAATGAAACTGAAGCTCAAATACTTTGGCCACCAAATGAGAAGGGAGCACTCACTGGAGAAGAGCCTGATGCTGGGAAAGATTGAAGGTCAAAGAAGACGGGGACGGCAAAGGATGAGATGGTTAGACAGTGTCATAGATGCAACGAACATGAAGTTGAGCAAACTTCAGAGGATGGCGGAAGACAGGAGGGCCTGGTGGGAGCTGGTCCATGGGGTCGCGAAGAGTCAGACTCGACTGTGCGACTGAACAACAACAAATACCGAATAATGTGGACCTGGAGTGGGATTGTAAATTCATTTGTGTGAGGTATTTTCCATTCCTCTTCCCTAGCAGGAGCTCCCTCTGCTCCGTAATGGGATCCTCTGGAGCATCGCCCTGTGAAGCATGAGGGTTTGTTTCTTGAAGGCAGTCATCAGCCACCCAAATCACCTGTGTCTGCATAGAAATGCTTTTTATAATCTCATGCAGGTCTCTTTGGATCCAAGCCTTGGTGTAAACTGTTCATGAGCACTGCTTTGTTTATGGGCCGCCCCATACCTGTTGGACTGGCATCTGTCGCTGCACAGTTGAGTCGTTGGTGCTTTTATAGAATCAGAAGTCTGAAGCATGAGCAAGAGAAGAGAAAATTATGCTTAAAATTAAATTTGGCATGTTTAAGCACTACAGCAAGAATGCCCTAACACTGCCTAACATACACCATGTGACAGGTGAAACATCAGTTAGTTCTGGAAGGGTGACCTGTTCCTTTTGGACAACTCTGTGCCGGCAATTTAATGGTCTTCTTGAGTCCAGCAGGAGGAGGTGGATTTCAGGGGTTATTATTATTATATATTGGACTTACGGATCGCCCAATCCTTGTTGGTGCAGGGCTCTGGGCAATGTACGATCATAATAAAACATCAGCCATACAATAAAATATTTAAATAGCATTAAAACAACCATCTGAAAGATTCGGATGGTGGATTCCAATTATTTCCAGTTTCAGACTGTTGACCACTTTGTGGGTGCGTGAGGGAGGATAAGGTGAGTACAGAGAACAGAAGAGGGCGCCAGCCAAGATGGTAACCCACATGGCCCCGATGGTATTTGACAGAGAGTTCCGCCAGGTCGGGGACAGGGCCGAGAAAGCCTTGGGCCTGGTTGGGGACAGCCAGATGTCTTTGGGGCCGGGGATCACCAGGAAGTTGTTGTCCAAGGAGTGTAATTGTCAGGACCCACAGTCAAACAACAGAGCACATGCTTCTTCGAAGGTTTTACTTTATTGTTAGCACTATGGTAGCATAGACACAGGCACTGTTAGGAATGACTACATCATAGAAAGCGGAGAGAGATATAGGGTATTTGAAAGCATACACACACACCCACCTATGGGCCAATCGGCCTGACTCCCGCGGGTGGGAAAGAGGCTGGGAAACGAAACCAATCTCACAGGTAATTGATGGGAAGACACTACACAGGCTGGCTACAAGGTCAGTGATAAGGAGGGGGAGAAGGGAAGAGAAAGGAATGCAGCAACTGGCACAAAGGTCATGAAAGTGAACCCCGGGCCCATAAGCTATATGACAGCATAGCTGACATTCTGCCCACCCAAAGAACAATCTCCTGGTCTCTCCGGGAACTCCCGGTGAAACTCTTGCAAGAGCCCAGGGGCCTGAATACCCCCTACTTCCACCCATTCACATTGCTGGGACCCAAAGTCCAACCATTCCACCAAATAAAACAGTTTGCCATGTTTCACTTTAGAGTCCAGGATCTTTGAGATCTCAAAATGTTCTTCGCCCTCCACCATGATAGGAGGGGGGGTACAGGTGGGGACCTGTAGACTCTTGAGAGTCCCTTGGACTGCAAGAAGATCAAATCAGTCAATCCTAAAAGAAATCAACCCTGACTGTTCCCTGGAAGGCCAGATAATGAAACTGAAGCTCAAATACTTTGGCCACCAAATGAGAAGGGAGCACTCACTGGAGAAGACTCTGATGCTGGGAAAGATTGGAGGTCAAAGAAGACGGGGACAGCAAAGGATGAGATGATTAGACAGTGTCATCGATGCAACGAACATGAAATTCAGCCAACTTCAGAGGACGGCGGAAGACAGGAGGGCCTGGCGGGAGCTGGTCCATGGGGTCGCAAAGAGTCGGACTTGACTGTGCGACTGAACAACAACAACAACAGGTGGGGAACCCAGGCCCATAAACTATATGGCAGCTATATGCTCTCCCATAGATATGTTGGTCCCTGCCCTCTCAAGGCCTTAAAGGTCAATACCAAAACCTTGAAGGTGAATGCTTTCAGAAATGCTTGTGCAGAGTGCCAGGCAAGCGCTGAATTTTTCGGGTTTAGCCCTGCCTTGTTCACATGGACACTTTGGTGTTTCCATTGATTTATTTTTGGGAATAGAATAGTTTATTCACAGCAAAACCCAGCAATCTAATACGGTAGTCAAACTGAATTTGTCAAAATCCATAAACCACAAGCATATATGAAATGTATTAAAATGTATAAAATAAAAATATAAATATAAAAATATAAGGATTTATTTTTGAGTATTTATAACTCAGTCTTCTGTTCCTTTGAAGGTGAATGCTTTCAGAAATGCTTGTGCAGAGTGCCAGGCAAGCGCTGAATTTTTCGGGTTTAGCCCTGCCTTGTTCACATGGACACTTTGGTGTTTCCATTGATTTATTTTTGGGAATAGAATAGTTTATTCACAGCAAAACCCAGCAATCTAATACGGTAGTCAAACTGAATTTGTCAAAATCCATAAACCACAAGCATATATGAAATGTATTAAAATGTATAAAATAAAAATATAAATATAAAAATATAAGGATTTATTTTTGAGTATTTATAACTCAGTCTTCTGTTCCTGTTATCCAAAGCAGCTTGTGAAATGTAAAAAAGTTTTAACCAAGGTTGTGTCACGTTCAATGTGGGAAGTAATTGTGTAACTGAACCCAGCTCACGGCTTGAACAATGTATATATTGACCCTGAGCCAAGTGCACAGTGAATGAACCCAGCTGTTCCTGTGGTTCACTTGAGCTTTTGGCTATCTCGCCTACTTGGCATTTCCTACATATGCTTCAGGGTTTGTGATAGGGATGCTTGAACACCTACTGGTTTGGCTCATGTCCTGTTTGTTGGATGGTTTGAGTGTTTCCTTACCTATTTGACAAGGCTATCACAGTGTTAGGAAAGAATACACTTTGCTTTTCCTGTAGCAATAACCACTATATGGTTTTTGAAAGTTTTTCCTAAAAACTGGTAAATGCTTTTGCAAGCTAACATTGTAATGATGTATTGTCACAATCAGATTTTTTAAAAGTCTCTGTCCCCCTTTTCTGTGGAGCTAAAGGGGGGAAAGAACGGCCTGCACCTTTCCTCTTACAACTCCACAGTGGAAAGTTAGAGACCTTATGAAAAACGGAAGCTGACTAAAGCGATCATAGCAGTACATTGTTTGAATGCTAGTTCTCAATAGCATTTACTCATTTTTAAAAGCCCCCCCAAGCCTTATGGTGGCATTGTAGCCAAAAATTTCAGGGGAAATATTGCCTTATTGTGTGGATGCAGCCATACATAGTTAGATCAGTCATAAATAAGTTTCACGTGTGGCTGGAGTGTGGAGGAGAGGGAAGAGGGGGGAAGCAACAGCAATCCTGTCTGACTTTCTGGGTTTTTTTCTGTTACACCAGTTCAGCCCCTGAGCTGCACACTGGCTACCCTTTTCAACCCACCATGAAATAGGGTCATCAGTAGCAGGAATGTGGCCGCTATAACTGTGTCGTCTGTTTATAGTTCATAGTAATTCCTTTGATATCTTTCCCCATGTGTTGATGAGGGTGATACATTAAGTATAGTCACTTCTGGAGGTGATGTGAAGTACTGACAGAATTGCATTTTCTGAACTTTTAGGTTCAGGGGAAGATTATGTTTACCGTCTTTTGAAATCCACATGGTGCTGTTGCTTTGGATGGGACAGGCTGCTTGTCTTTGGGGGTCAGTAGAAAAGTTGGCGTTTGGCTTCTGGCTAGCGTGTTAACCTGTGTCTCCTTGTTTTCCTGCAGATCTGCACCCTTCTCTTTGCCAGCCTCTACATCCTCTGCCACTTCATTCTAACCCGCTTCAAAAGGCACACAGACTTCACTGGTAAGTGGGAGGGTGGAAACTTGTATGGCACAAGGCTGTGGCTTGTGAATCCTATGGCTTTTGGAGAGCGTGCTTGGTTTGGAATGCTATCAGTTGTGTGTGGGGTCGTCCCCCCCCCCCCCCCCCCCCCCCGTGTGTCATGACTACAGCAGGAGAAGGTGCCAACCCTGTTGGCGTGTGTGGTACAGCAAGCTGTGTTCCCTACTCTGCATTCAGGGTTTCTTGGGGAGGTATCTGTGCCATTTCAACTGTTTTGAATGCTTTTTGCATTCCTGGTGTTTTCTCCTTGGCCAAGGATAAAGCATCATGTAAGACAGTGTCTCCCTTTTTAAATTCTTTTTGAAGTACTTGCTTAAATTCAAAGCAACAAGAACAAAAAGTTCCAGTGGGAACCTTGACATCTTTTAAGCCCTGAGGATGTAAGAGTGACCGAGCCTAAGAACTCCTGCTGTAGACCAATAAAGTCTTCCACCTCCAGCAATTGGATAGCTTGCAGAATTGCATGAGACGAGAGGGCCGGCAACACTGGGGTCTCTTCTCCAGTGTGACCTTGGCCTGCCGGACACGACTGCTTTGTTTAAAAGCAGCCTCTAAGACTGGTGTACAGTGGCCCTTTTGGCATTTCACGGGCAAATGTTTCGGTTTGCATGGAGGAGAGGGAGGGAGAGAGAGTCCAGCTGATTATCACTTGCTGTGAACCAGATCAGTCCTTTTGAGTCGGCTTGCTCTGTTGTCTGCTGTGCAGAATCCAGCTTCTTTCAAGCGAAGCCAACAGTGACTAAGCATCTCTCCTTCTTCCCCCAGCGGGTTGCCTTAGGGAGGCCACATTCTCTAGGGCCCTGCCTCTTTCCAAGCAGTCCTTTTATATATCTGTAGCCATCCCCGGAGGAAAGGGCTCTTCCTTCTCATCAGAGACTGTTTGTGCTGTTGTTTAACCAAATTGCTGGGGCAGCCATGAGCCTAGGAAACGGGGCCCTTGGGGCGCAAAGGCCGGCTGCCTTTGCCACGCTTCCAAATTGTGATCGATTCTGTCGTTTGATGTTGGAGGGAACTTCTGAATTTTCATTCCTTAACATGAGCCAGGCTTGCATCTGAGAGGCTGGTGTGAGGCCACTGATTGCAGCAATTGAATACGTACTATTTTGTTTGCGGTAGTGGCAATGTGACGGTCCCTTATATTTTGTGCTGGACTTGGAGAGAGCAAAAAGCAGCTGTTGTGTACAGGCTACACAGAGGAGCTGAAGGTGTTCCTGGCATCACGGTGGTCCAGAGAGACCTGCGCAAAACAGTCCTGCACTAAACCTGTGGCAGGAAGCAGATTGGAACACCCATTCGTATTGCTAAACCGAAATGTCCTTTGAGTCTCTTCCTAGCCATTACGTGTTGCAAATGGGCTTGGAAGTGGAGCCTTAACTAACAGGAACTCTTTTTCCTCTGTTCTCTTAGTTGATGAGGATGAGGATGCTGCTGTCAACAGAATTGCGTAAGTTCCTTTATGCATCCTGTACTGACCCTATTGTCATCTTTGATCTCTCTTTTCCTCTTGCTGAACCCAATAACAGCTTTTCTGTTCATGGGTTTTAGTGTGCATGTTTCCCCTCTCCCCTTTAAAAACAAGGCTGCAGTATAATTGAAATAACAACTGAACAGCAAAGGGTGTTACAAAGGTACCAGCACTTCTCCACGCAACACTTCAGTCCTCCAACGAATACATACAGGGAGACAATTTGCATCCCATCTTCAACTGGCCTGCATAACAGGTTGAGCAACTGAAGGCCGCTTTGCGTTTTGCCTTAATTACATCCATCCAAAGTAACAGATGAGTTCAGAATTCTGCAAACCTCTGAAAAAGCCACAGTTTCCCTCTAAGGCTCAAGGATTAGTGCCTACATTTCTTCAATGATTAGACATGTCTGTGTGCAATATTTTTGTAAGTATCCCGTACCGTTGTGAAGGGTGTAAATATTCTGGTGTTTCCAAGTTCCATTGCTAGAAGACATTGTAGTGCCAGCACAAGGAATTTTTGTCTCCTTGAAGGAGGAAGCGAAACCTAGCAGACACAGAAGCAAGGCCAGGAGCTTAGGACCCCTCAGTCGTGTGGTTATGTTATGTGAGAAGGGAAATAGGTTGTTAGAATAGAAAAGGAGCAGTGACAAGACAGCAGGTGGTGAGAGAACCGTTGTGCAAGATCTCCTTGGGGGAGGGGGGGAGGAATGGTATTTGGCTGTGCTGATGCTGCAGCTGGCCATCTTCGTGCCTGGTTCAGGCATGCCAGGGAAGGGGAAAGTATGTGCTGAAGCAGAAGAATGAATGGTATTGCTTCAAACTGCAGGGTGGAGGAACCCTTCTGTTTAAAGATTCTCTGTAAACAGAGGGCCAGATAAGCCTGGGCAGTTTGTGGCTTTTGAGGATTTGTTGCCACGAATAACAAAACTTCTTAAAATGATGAAATGTGTAGATTTGCAGGTCTGAGCTCAGTGTGTTGGATGCATTTTTGTCTGATAGGGATGTGCGTAAGTTGTGAAACTCAACAAGCATCTCAGTTTGAGGCCACCCTTGAGCTCGAAGCCAAATGGCCTTCCTGGCCTTTCCTCTGATAGGTTCTGTTTGCCATGCACCCACACACAAACTTCAGGGTCATTTTCCCCCGTGGCGGTGTTCAATGTCAGCACGCACCACCTCCAGTCCATTCTGCTGCCTCCGTCTCCAGGCTGTGCAAACCAGGTCTTCTTCCAGGAGGAGAGGAGTCATGTCACTTGGAAGGGGGACACCCCAGGGCAGTTTTCGGGCACATGTCCGACTCTCTCTTCCTCCTGTCCCCAGGCTGTGGCTGTGCACCTTCACCTTGGCGGTCTCTCTCGGCGCCGTGCTCCTGTTGCCCTTCTCCATCATCAGCAACGAAGTCCTGCTGTCCTTTCCACGGAACTACTACATCCAGTGGCTGAATGGCTCCCTCATCCATGGTGAGCTCTCCGAAGCTTGCCCAGTGCAAGCAGTTTGGGCTCCCAGCAGTTCTCTTCATGTTGGAAGGGCATAGGGGTGTGCTTTGCTTACAGAGAGACAGAGGAGCTGCACGTGTCAGAGGTCTTTTTGGTAATAGCTAGGGTTGTAATGTACAGCATTGCTTCCATTCTACTGGGAATGCCACAGTGGTGTCCAGAACCTGGCATCCACTAGGTTCCAGAGATTTACACCTGAAGGGGACACACTTCTAGACCCTATGGCTGCTTGGGCAAGATTTACAAATGAAAGCCACGACAAGAGATGACTGAATTCTTTAAAGCCTCCAGTCCCGGCGTCGCTGCTGCGTATTGTGGCTCATCAGTGTTCCTTGAGCTCCATTCCTCCCTACACGATGGCAGTCACGCTTATCACAAGTGGCCTCAGCCTGTATCGGCCTTCTGAACAGAAGCCGGAGTTTCCCCACATTCCTCGTGTGTTCCTGCATCACCCAGAGAAGGTCCTTCCTGAACTTTAGCATCCCTGTGGAAGAGCAGTCGTGGGGCTGGGGTGACGGAAGGATCAGGGGAGGAAACGGCTCTTCTTTCACAAGGGCAGCTGCTGAGAAGAGAGGGCAGTTCCATCCTCCCCATCCCTCCTCATTTCAGCACACACACACACACACACCCCTTGGCCCAGGCAGCTGTTCCTCTGCGGAACGCTCAAAGCTCCGGGAATGATCTTGCTAGGAGCTGAACGATGCGGGAGTGGAAAAGATTGTGGGAAAGCTGCCGTCTGTGTAGGGATGGTTGCATACAAGCCACGGTCTCAGGCAAACTGCTCCTTGTGGCTGGGGGAGGGGGGTGTCTCTTTGGGGGGGGGGGTGTTGAATTTTAGGTCTAGTTCAGTGGATCAGCCACAGTAGTTATGTAACTGTTCAGCAATGCATTTCCAGAATCTGGCTTTCTGAACTTCAAGCATAGTTTTCTTTTTTTGGGGGGAGGGGTTGATGCTATTGCTTGGCTTGAGAGTAGGAGTAGGCCCCTAGGTAATATTTTGGAAGTGAATAGGTCAGGCAGGATCCAGGTCTGAAAAAGAGGGGGGGGGGGTTGACCTGGTGTAAGTTGATTGCCCTGGGGCGATCTCCAGTCATAGAATGGGGGGCAGGTGGTGGTGGGGAACAGTGCACATCTGGGAAAGTAGGCACTCCATGTTTAGAGATTTGCCTTTGTTCACATAAGCCTTTTTTGTCTCCTCCTCTGCAGGGCTCTGGAATCTGGTTTTCCTCTTCTCCAACCTCTCCCTTGTCTTCCTTATGCCTTTTGCCTACTTCTTCACTGAGGCCGAAGGCTTTGCAGGGTCAAAGAAGGTACCAGCAGTCCCTCTGCCATGTCCCCTGCCCTAATTCCGTCCGCCTCCACTCTTGGAAGCAGCACAGCCCCTTCTGTGTCCTTTCTTTCTCCAGGGGATCATGGCTCGCGTATACGAGACCTTCGTGGTGCTCCTCTTGCTAACCTTGCTGGTGCTGGGAATGGTCTGGGTCGCATCGGCCATTGTGGACAATGACGCAGCCAGCAGGGAATCTCTCTATGGTGAGTGGCATCTCCCGGTCTTTGCGATTGTTGAGGCTTGTGTACTCAAAAGAGGAGAGGAGACCATCCCCTGTTGAGGTCTGTGTACTCAGAAGGAAGAGGGAAGAACAATTCTTCAAATGAATAAACATGCATAGAGATCAGGCTGTAAGCTCCTGGACTCTTATCGCAAGCAATAATTGGAGGGGATGTATGTGGTCTAATGCAGAGGTTTAAAACAAGTTGACCAGAAACACACAGCATGCGTCTTAAGGCTATTTTCCCTTCCCCTTTTCAATGGTTTTATACACCCACTTATGCAGAAACAGAATCGGGTGCCTCGAGCCTTGAATTCAGTATGTAAGCAAAACTCTTCTCTAATGAGCAAGCGACAAACTTGGCTCATCAAAAGGCTGCCTGTTGAAACCACCCAGTGAAAGCTAAATTAAATCACTTGGTGATCTGCCTAGCTGCATCAAATGGGTTGGGCCGCTACTAGTGATGGGCTTTGTTTTGGATGTTCCTAGTGGGTTAGGGTGTCGAGACGTGTGGGCTGTGAACATTATCCCTGGTTCTGGATGATGGTTCTGCCCTGGACAATGGATCACCAGCTGGAACTTAGCTGGCTGGGAAATTTGGTGGTTTGAGGGTCGTTGGGCTTGTGGGGAGGGGTTGTCCTTTGGCTTATAATCTTGCAGGACTGTAAGAGTTTTGGTTAAGTGTTCTGGAGATGCATGCAAGACCCCCGTGGGATGGAGAAGCACAGCAGAGGCTTCAGCTCAAGCGTCGTCCCTACTGGGACTGGTTTCCTTGGAAATTTTGAGGAGGGCACACGAAGAAAAAGGAAATGAACGATGATACTCCCAGGCAGTGTTCCCTCTAAGCTGAGTTAGTGTGAGCTAGCTCACAGTTTTCTAGCTTCAGACTCACACATTTTTGCCTTAGCTCAGGAAGGATGGCTCCAGAGCAAACTAATTTATGCAGAAGCCAAATCGCTCTCTCACAACTTCAATGTCAGTAGCTCACAAAGTAGAATTCTTGCTCACAAGACTCCACAGCTTAGAGGGAGCATTGCTACCAGGAGCCCGAATCCTTGGTGATCGCTCCCACGAGGGACTCTCAGGTTTTGTCCTGGGAAAACAGTCTGTATGGTGGAAGAATGGGCTGGAAGTCTGGACTCCTGAGCTGCGCCTTCTGGTGAAGAGGTGCTGGGGGGGGGGGAGGGCTAAACTGGGAGAGACCAGCCTGTGCTCTGAATGGTTGAACAGGGCATTGCAGCACTTGCTGCCTCTTGGTCTCCACTGGCTTTGCCTGGACTAATGACTTGTTTCTTTTAATTGCCTCCCACAGACTTCTGGGAGTATTATCTCCCCTACCTCTATTCGTGCATCTCCCTGTTTGGTGTGCTGCTGCTGCTGCGTAAGTGATCCCGATCCCCTGTTTGGGCAGGACTGTGGGGAAGTGTGAGAGCGCCACGCCAGACCCCCAAATCCAGACAGGAATGCTAGGAGTGTAATTAGCCTCTGTTATGCAACCGTGTTGTGATTAGTGCCGGGGCAGGCCTAGGGGAATCAGGGCTCAAGTCCTTGGTATGCCGTGAATGTCATTGAGTGGGCTTGGTCCGGTCCCTCTTTCTTTCTGTGCCTGACTTGCCTCCCAGGGGCAATTGTGAGGATAAAATGGAGGAGGGAAGAGCTGTGTCTGCCACTCAGAGCTCCCTGGAGGAAGGGAGGGACAAAGATGAGGTAACATGGAAGGGTTTCTAGATGTTTCCACCTCAGCTGTGCTTTCCTCCCCTGGGTAACAAATCTTTCCTGAGCTCCAGTTTCCTTAGTTTAGGGAACGATGCACCATTCCTAACTTGCTGTACATAACCTCTTAAGAAAAACAGATCAGACAACTCCTCCTGCCTTTGTGCGACATGTAAAGGGCTCCTTTAAGACATAATGTCATTTCTGCTAAGAGAAGCAAATCCACGTACTGGATGAGAATTTTGCACCCATCTGTTTGGGGGTGTGCCCGTACAGCAGAAGTGCTTTCCAGGCTGTAGCTTTATCAAAGTAGACCTAATAATATTAAGGCCTGTCTGTCTCTCTCTCTGTGTGCCTGTCACATGTTTCTTATATCTCAGGACCTTTGGACAGCATGCATAGTTCTCTCCTTTCTTCCCTCTTGGTGTAGTGGTTTGGTGTAGTGGTTAAGTGCGTGGACTCTAATCTGGGAGAACCGGGTTTGATTCCCCACTCCTCCACTTGCACCTGCTGATGTGACCTTGGGTCAGTCACAAGCTCTGGCACAGCTGTCCTTGAAAAAGAGCAGTTTGCGTCAGAGCTCTCTCAGCCCCACCCACCTCACAGGTTGTCTGTTGTTGGGAGGGGAAGGGAAAGGAGTTTGTACGCCGCTCTGAGACTCCAAGTGAAGGGCGGGGTATAAATCCAATCTCTTCTTCTTCTTCTTACCTTTGTGACAACACTGTGAGGGAGGTTAAGGTGAGAGGGAGGAATGGCCCTGACCCAGGGTCACCCAGTAAACATGCCTGAATGGAGATTTGAATAAAGGGTCTAATCCCAGTGCATTAAGTGTAGTGCCACACTGGCCCAAGTGTGTTCACCCTCTGGATTTGGTCTCTGACTTGAATGCAGATGTTGTGTGAGCAGCCATGGGCGATAGATCGTTCGCTGTGCAGTCCTCAGCAGAGTTACAGCTTTCTAAGCCCATTGCCTACAGAAATAAGTAACTCTGCTGAGGAGTGCATGGTTAGTTCCTTTATCACCTGGGGAAGTGCGAGTGGATCAGCCTTCTTTTTTTTTTTTTTTCCCCCGGGGGGGGGGGGGATTTATGGTGATGTGGTCAGGTATTGGCTGTTTAGAAAGGAAGATAATTGCTTAGTTTATTTCAAGAGTGGATTTCTTACCACATTGAACTGCCAGTAGGACCAATAACTGCTTTTCATGGGATAAAAGAATAGACTACCAGTGAATTACTAAGACGTGCCTCCCCATAGTTCATGTTCTCCCTACCATGTCTGTGTTAATGACTGTGCTTATCAAACGAATGGGTGAAATTGCTGTCAAGAGACCCCAGAAATGACCAGCTCTTTTGCCTCAAGCTGAATTAGTATTATTCTAGGGCCTTGAGCAGCCCAGCTTGGGTTTCAGCCAGGCTGCATGTATCTTTCACAGGGCGCTGTCTCTTGGCAGGACAGGGTGTGCTCAGGTTTCCGACAATTAATTCTTTATGGGCTCAAAAAAGCATGGTGTTGGGGGAGCGCTGGGGTTGGCACAGTCTCTCGGTGATTTGAAGAGCCCAATAGCAGATGCGCTGCAGAAGGAGGGCATTTCAGAGTAAGCTGGATTCCCAGAATTTTTCCATTTGCAAGAGATGTCCTGCCTTTGACCCAACACAAGCGGAAAGAGAAGGGCTATGAGGCAGAACAGGTCGAGGCACCCACTTCTGCATGAGCATGCAGCTCCTTGAGAGTGGAGACTGGCGCCATCTCCTGGCAGTTTGTATTATTGGGTTTATACCATGCCGTTTGTGCCTGACATTTTTTCTTTTCTGCCCACCCCCACAGTGTGCACACCCTTTGGCCTGTCACGTATGTTCACCGTTACGGGGACGCTACTGGTGAAGCCCAGGGTAAGATCAGAGATGGTTTTAGCACTTGCTAGGCCCAATACGAAGGGTAGGGGGGAACAGCCAGGAAAGCAAGACATTTTGTTGTTAAAAGCAGGGGTCATTTCGTAAAAAAAGAGCTAGGGGGACTCATTAGCATAACTCATTAGCATATGCCACACCCCCTGACATCACCGGAAGTGTGTCCTCCCCACAGCCGGCGGCGACCTCCAGCGGGCACCAGCAGGGAGCTCCAGGCCCCGCCCTCCCGCACCTCACCCGGGGGGATGGCGTCCCCCCGCGTCCCCCCCCCCAAATGACCCCTGGTTAAAAGATTGTTTAGATCAGGAGTGCAGACTTCTGTACCCCTCGTGGGAAATTCAGGACTAAACCTGGGCCAGGCCCATATTTAGTAATCTATATTAAATTACTTCAATGTGAAATAATTTATATTTCAAAACCAATATGCCATCAACAATTAATCATGTGGTTTTTAAAAAAATATTTTTTTCACTCGTGATAGTCTGAGTCTCAGCCAAAGAAAGAAGAGTCCATAAGAGGAAGGAAAGAACTCCTTCACTGAGGCAATATGAGTAGATATTCCATTTGTCTGTGAAAGGAAATAGAATCATAGAGTTGGAAGGGGCTATACAGGCCGTCTACTCCCCCCCCCCTCTGTTTTTCTCTCGGAACTTAGACTGAGTGTGTGACTGCTCCAGGGTCACATATTGTGCTTCGTGGCTAAGTGGGGAGTTGAACTCTGATCTCCCTAATCTTAGACCAACACTCTTAACTACACTGCTCACATACTGGATACTCAGTATGAATCTCCAAATGCATCTCAGAATCCACAGTAAACATGGGCTTCTCAGATACCGTGACCTGAAAGTATGGGAGCATTTGTTTGATTGAAGTAAGGTCCAGGACAGCAGAATCACCTTACTTTCCATATTTGGGGAACCAGCTTTATCCCCCCCCCCTTGTGCAGACATACAGAGACAAAAAAAAATGTCTAAAAAGAAATATTTCCATCTCTTACATTTCTTTTCCTCTAAAGCTGCAAGTCCCAGTGCAGCAAAATCACCTTTTCAGCATTTGAGTCACAGGCCTCTGTTCCCCCCCAACCATGGCTAAAGACAGAAATATTCCCATTTCAGTCTTTTTTCCTCTAAAGCGGCAAGTCCCAGGTGGTTCGTGAAGAGCATGCTCTTCATGCAAAACAGCTCAGCTGTTTGGTTTAAATGGCTCTGAGCAGAAAGCAGGAGTTTCCAAACAGCTGAGCGGCAGGGACCCCTGCTTTCTGCTCCCTGCAGCTTTTCGCAGGGAGCAGAAAGCTAACAGCTGAGCTGTTTTTCTGTGAAGAGCAGAAAGCAGGGCTCTCTGCTCTTCACAAACGGCATCAAAATTTGTGGAAGTTCATGGCGGTTTTTCAGTGTGCAAACATCACTTCACGAACAGCGAACTGGCCAAAGTTCATGATGAACTTTTAGTTCATCAGCTGGTTCATGCCCATCCCTAAACCTGACAGCCTGAGTAGCTTCATGATGCTAGTTGGCCGGGGGGGGTGGGGGGCATTGCCTCTACTAGGAAATACCAGGGGGCCTAACAACCCAGACAGGGAAATCCTGCAAGACTTGAGCCCCACTGCCTTCCCCACAATTTATGCCACTAGTTTAGACAGGAATGTTTGTAAGAGGGAGGGAGAGACAGAAGAAGGAGCAGTGGGTCAGAGTGGCTGAGACCCTGCAGTGTGGTCTGAGAGGGTGAAGGTGGCAGGGCTCTAAGAAGGGCAGTCACTAGCTGAGGTGGGAGGCCCGAGACCTAGGAAGGTGTGATGGAGCTGGTTGTGGTTCAAGCTTAGCACAGTGTTGGGTATTTACAGGGAGTCACCTTGGAGAATTGCAGGGTAAGTCTGATGTTTCCTCTGACTGCTGTTCATCTGTGTTGCCCATCCAAGGGGCTGCCACACAACTGGTCTGGGTTTGTTTTTAAATACCAAAAAAGCCAGATGCTAGCCTTTCTGCTGTGCAAGCTGCTATGTAGGTTTATTCCCAATAGTCTTTAAAAATTGTTATTTTTCTTAAGACAATCCTCAGGATATCCCTGAGTGATGGTGGCATTTTACAGCACTGTCAGATGTTGGCATGTAATGCCTGCATGCTGGGCTGGGAAATACCTGGAGATATGGAGGTGAAGCCGAGGGGAGGGGAGGGCAGGGTTTGGGGAGGGAAGGGAAGGGAACCTCAGCAGGATATAGTGCCATAGATGTCAACCTTCAAAGTAGCCATTTTCTCCAGGGGAACTGATTTTGGTCATCTGGAGATCAATTGTAATAGTGGGAGATCTCCAGGTGCCACCTGGACGTTGACAACTCTACTGCACACTCTCAGGCTTTATCTTGACAATCCCAAGAACTAGCAGCATGTCAGGACTCTGCACCCTATACCAATTTTGGCTGTGTTATTAGGATCTAAATGGGTGAGGCTTTTGCTCAGTGGTTTCTTGACCTGAACCTAGTATTTTGGCTTGGCATTTGAAATAATGGTGGAGGAAATTCTGCTTTCCATAGCACCCACGAGTGTGTTGGAACATCATCTTAGAAGGGAATACAGCAAGCAGATGCATAGCCAGTGTCAAGCTGGGCTCTTGACTGCTTGATGCCTCATGTGTGTTTCCTTCTCTACAGCTACTGGAGGATCTAGATGAGCAACTGAACTGTACAGGGTTTGAGGAAGCTGCCATTTGTCGTAAGATCAACTCTGGTGAGTATCCAGCTGTGGTTGGACAGAACTGTGAATGCGGGTGAGCCCAGCCAGAAATTTTTCATCTAGGGCTGGTAGAGGATTTGGCTGGCTAATCTAGTTCCTTCAGACTGAGGCTGGTGGAGGTGGGCATGGTGACTCATACAGATTCACTGTCTAATGGGGAGTTGGATTTGACTTTAATTTTTTGTATTGTATTGTATAGGGAAAACCTCTTGCTGGCTCAACCTTGACATGGACTTGCTAAGACAACAATATCTAGCAATCCACACGCACAGGATAACACTGGGTAAGGAGAGGCATAAACAACATGTATGCCAAATAGGTATATAAATGCACTACTATGAGATCCTGGAATCCAGCGTCCTTGGATTTGCTTTTTTGAAGTACATATTTACTTGCTGTAGCCAGGCCTATGTGTGCTCTTTGCCCCCAGAAAGTCTTCTTTGAATAAAGGTAACATTTTGCTAAGCCTAGGGTGGAGTGAATATGGAGAAGGAAGCGGTGGGTGGGATATGTTTTCTCACTAGGTACATCCCACATATTTTCTAGCCATGAGGCTAGAACACTCATTTCTTTGAAGATTGCCAGAATGCTGGATTCTGCATATTCCTATCACTTTTTATCTCTGTTCAGTGTGACCTTATAATTTATTTAGAGCCTATTCTTTCCAGTTTTGATTTAAGACGGCACAGATGGAATCACGTTTGTTCTTCTTTTGAAACCTTTCGAAAGTGGTCTCTCTTATAAAGTTGCACAACGGTTAGGTGAAACGGGCCTTCTGAAGGTGAAAGTTCGTTGACTGTAGGGCTGTAACTGAGGAGACCCAACAGCTTACTACATAGATAACGATAAACCAATCAAATCATTAAAAGAATCACCATGTCAGAACAGCCTGTCTTGAGTATTTGAAGGAGTCTCGTAAGAGATAAGGAATACACGGCAACTCCTCTGTTCACTGTGGGGGATGCTTGAAAACATACGAATGGAGCTTGATCGGGTTTTGAAGACAAGGGGTAGAGCAGGATGTCTGGTGGTCAGTGAGAGGGCTCACATACTCCTGCTCAGTTGCTTATCCTTCTACAAGGGGCTGCTCCCTTCAGTCTTCCCACTCCCACTCCCAGTCTCTGTATCTAATCTTTCCATCCTTTCATTGCAAAACAGGTTTTCCAGATTCTCTCTCCTGTGTATTGCTGCATTAGATTGGATTTGATGGGAGAAGAGGCAGGATCCCAACCACACTCTACTGCAGGAGTTCTGCCTTGCTGCCCCTGTGTGTGCTTTTGAAATTTTGAGAACATGTAGTGAGTTGCACCACAAAATGGCTTCCTGCCAGACTTACTCTGCTACGAAATGGCTGCCATTGGAGCTGGGGCCAATCATACAGTATTGGGAAGTTCCAAGCCAGGTGTTGTCCCATGATGGCGGTAGCTGCTTCCTGATGAGTGCTCCTTATAGAGAAAATGCTGGTGTGTCTCTGAACCACCTCCAGCTTCAGGGAGATAGAGAGGAAGGCCAGCCTTGGCTTGACGTTTTGGACACCAGGAAAGACGTTAGTGAACACCACATGAGGAATCACTGCTCTGCTGGGTGGAGCTCAGTCATCATCCTCTCAGAGAGGATGGAGTAAACATGGTGGCTTTGGTCACTGCATAAGAACTGTTAATTTTCAAGTGACTCAACTCCTGTATGCATTGTGCTTTTTGACAGAAACACGCCGCAAGGCCTCAGCTTGGCAAAGGAACCTGGGCTACCCACTAGCCATGCTCTCTCTGCTCTCTCTGACGGTAAACACTGGGGCTGGGAAGGTGGTGGGCTTACAGTATGCTGTAAACCAGTCTGAGCTGGTTCAAAGTCCTCTTTGTTAGGAAAACAACAGTCTAAATCGGCAGTTTTCAGCCTTCCTACATCGATACTCAGCTCACTCCCCCATCTGCCCAGGAACTTCTGCAGATTGGTGGGGCATGTTCTGTGATACTCACGCCACACGTAACCTTAGCCAGGCCTGTTTTGGTTTCTCCGTCATTCAGCATGAGCTGTAGATGTAGCATGGAACCCTCCCCGTGATCTGTCACAGCTGCCCATTAGTGGTGAGCAAATGGTCTCTTTTGCTCTTCTAATTAAAAAACTTGCTATAGGTGTCTGAGCTATTCTGTGTTGCATAGTATAGAGCCAGTAGATTTGACTCCTTTGCATGGAGGTGGTGCCTGTGAGCTGATCAAATGGAAGGGGTTGCATGTTACCCCTGTGCTTTAATGGGCGAGGAGATATGGTTGAGTACTGTTCTCTTTGTCCCCAGAACCTGGCAAGTAGCTTCTGTGGAATATAGAGGTTCCAATCTGTAGTTATGGCTAATTGATGGTCCTACTCTCCGTCAACGTGCTTAGTCCTTTTCTAGTAAACCAAGGGATATTGCCATATTGTGTGGGAAAGAATTAGAAGAGCACGCAGCACCATAAATGCTATTCCCAAAATCCAAAATGCTGAAGAGCACCATACTTGAAATGGTATGCTAAAGTCTGCTCCTGAGAACTGGCTGTGTTGCCACTCTGAACAAAGAGGAATATGATGTAACTTTTTGAATTACAAGATCTCTTGTTGCAGAACTGCGTCAATAAAGTTGGTCCAACACAAAAGTTTATTGCATCTTGCTTTTTGCCTTGGGCAGGGAAGCCACCTCGAAACTTTCACACACAAAAACAGGTCACAAAAACAGCCTAGAATATTACAAAGTTAGAGTCCAATGGCACCTTTAAGACCAACAAAGTTAACTCGGCTGCCCACCTTGATCTAACCTAGAATATTGTCTGAAATACAGTTCTCTGAGTGGAAGAAGACTGAGAACCAGGTTTGTTTGAGCCAGGCATGTTCCCTTGTGTGTCCCTAGCAGATGAATCTGTACCACAGTGTTGTCAGATTTAAGCAAAACTGCTTCCTGAGAATCCGGTTTCACAGGGACCTGAAAGGGTTTGGATACATGCTGAATGTACATTTCTAGCTATTCAGACTTGCAGTGAGTGTGCTGTATTGATTTTCCTCCCCACCTGCTTTTCCAGGGTATCTCTGTTCTTGTGGTCTGCTTCCATGTCTTGGAGCTGTTGCTGGATGATGCAGCAATGCCCCGCGGAATCCAGGTGAGTGTGGGTGTGGACTTCCTATCCAGTCCCCCAACTGGAGCTTTTTTGCACATAGATAAAAGAGAGGTGTGCCCATTTAGAATCAATAGCAGAGATAATCCTCTGCTTTATCTTTAAAAAAATCTAACCTGCCCTGCTTCTCTCCCGAAGGACGCGGCAGCAAATTTAAAGCATCTGAATTGGAATTAAAAACAAATTTAAAATATGGGCGGTGATTGTGGTGTAAATACCCAGATCAGTGTGTACTCTGTAATGAGAAAAATCAAACTTGTGGTTGAGAAGCTGACTGCTGCAACCTGTGGATTAATTTAAAAGAAACTCGCATAGACTGTACTAACTAGGGGGAAGGGGGAAGAGCTATGAGCAGGTGCCTACTCAGCGGTCCTTTTCCTGGTATGGATGCTCACCCACGCACTTCCAGCTGTAGTCTGGCACAGTTGCAGGCTTCTGGTGGGTGGCACAAACCACTATTATACCCTTTTTCCTGGTAAAGGGTCTGAAAAATCCCAAAAGAATTTTGGGGGTACATCTTCATTTCAATGAAACTAATTTTTCATCTCTCTTCTTCCCCCTCCCCCCCCAATACCGCAGGAGGCACCACTGGGGAAAGTTTCCTTCTCTGTCTTCGGCTCCTTTGGGGCAGCCATGCAGGTGGTTCTGATATTGTATCCTTTTCAGTGTGCCATTTGAGTGCCAAGATCTGCGTGTTACCAGGAAAGTTTATCTGGCGTCCCTGCTGTCAACTCATTTCCCACTTGTATTTTCTTTGCCATTTTTCTCCCACCATTTGTTCATACCTTCTTCAGTATCGAGCTTGTCCTGGATCTCACTGCCATTTCATTTCCAGAGGCAGTATACCTCTGAATGCCTTTTGCTTGGGCGGGGGGTGGGTGGGTGGGAGCCTGTGCCCCTTCTTGTAGGCCTGCTGAGGTAATTTGGGTGGCCACTGTTGGGAACAGGATGGATGCTGGACTACATGGATCATTGGTCTGCTCCAGGAGGGCTCTTCTTTATGTTCATCACCAGATGGCCCTTTGTCTGCCAATATCAAAAAGAAGTCAGGAAAACCTTGTCTTCCCATTGGGGTTGTTGCTTGAACGTGTAAGATACATTCTTATTCTTTTAATGCAGAAGACACAACTGTATGCTTTGTTTCTGTACATGAAATGTAGCTTTGCTGGGATTCTGCTCCTCCACCATTTTTCCTTAATGTCATACTGTCTTAGCTATTTAATGATTTCCTCTGTTGTGGGGTTCTACAGTTCTCCTCTCTTCACCAAACTGCTGCCGGAACAACATGACACCACTATGACCAAGGTACGTCTTTTTTTAAAAAAAAGCTCTGTTGTACATTTTACATTTGAGTACTGTTGCAGGTGTCTTCCCCCCCCCCACACCAGCTAATGGCTGAGCTGCTGTGATGTCATGGCAATACAGAAATAGAAACTGTCCAGAGAGAGGGTCAGTCACAGAATGTCAACAATTTAAGGAGCTTCTGACTTGAAATAGACCTTTGAAATAGACGCTTCCCCTGTTTGAAGAGCTGGGAGGAGGGGGGCGGGGTTGGAGCTAAGGGATAAGCTGGCCTGTTGCTTTGGTGAAGCAGTGGGGCTTGGAGGGTATGTAAGTTATGGCACCCATTTGCAAGGTCTGTGAGGCACAGATCCCTGCTTTGGAATGGATTCACAAGTTTTGATACAGTATCCTAGTCAGTCTCTCCCCCTAAACCACACGGGTCTTCCCATCCTCTTAGATATTCGCTATTTTAATTTCTTAAAGTTAATCAGCAGAGTCAGCAGAGTATTAAAGAGACAGAGTCCATGGTGTGTTTTAAAATATAAAAAGTTTACTACAACCTAACATGGGAAAGGTATACGGGATGGAAAATAACAAAGAGCTATATTTCTACATCCTCACAGCTAGAAAGAACATCTTAGGTCTAACTTATATGGCAGAAGTCTAATGGAGACATCTTAAGTCATTCTAAGACTAATGGAGAGTGCTCCTCTAATGGAATCAGAATGAGACTGGAGCTTCTTCTTGCTCAGGACAAAGAGTCATAAAATGCTAAATACTAGCCACTCTATTCTCCAATCAGAACAACAAACTAGATCTGAAGTTGGCGGGCTTTCTAGCTCTCTAAACACATTGGTTATAAACAAACATGTGATATAGTAAACAGTATTAACCCAGTAAATACTGAAATAGAAGTGTTCTAACTTGTAACATCCAACACATCCCCTGCCTTTGCTTCCTCTCCCTGCCGTCCCCCCCCCCCAGTCGAGGCTCTTCTGTGTCTTTTAATATGCAGAAGGCATAAAAGGGCTTGCCAGCAAAGGGGACTGTGTAAGTTCTGTTTGCATGTACGGCTGTCTGTTTCAGAGCAGAGGCCTGGCAGTGAAGTGTGCACAGGCACCATTCTGCAGTCACCCTCCCAAAACAGACACAAGGCCCAGTGAGGGTCCATAATTCAAGAAGAGGAGCTGGCCTTCTCAGTTCTTCTGCCCCCAAGGGGACATTGTACTGATTCTGGTAGCCTTTAAAAGGTAGTGTGGCCATGTGTGATCAGGCATTTTCCATTTAGTGTTGGACAACTTGGGGGGGGGGGAGGTCTGCTACCTTGTGGAGTGGGGGACGCTAATGGGGAAGGAGAAAGTGGCATACATTAGTGTGTAGGGGCTGAGTGGGTAAGAGCCACAGGTGAGCTGTCTGATTTGTCAGCATGTTATTTCCCTGCAGATAATCGGGAACTGTGTCTCCCTGTTGGTGTTGAGCTCAGCGCTCCCAGTCTTGTCTCGTACACTGGGTGAGTCCTTCTTTCTTCGTATGGACCATATCTTTTCTGGGGTTGCATCAGCAAAATCACTGCTTCAGCAGAACTATTTTTTAAAAATGCCACCTACAGCTAGGGTAGTATATATGAGTGTGTCCCAATTCTGCCCCGATAATTCTGCGATCTGTATAAACGATGAATATTTGAATGTTTACTTCATTTGCATAGTTTCTTACTATGCAGAGGGGTAAGGAATGATGGGGCACTAGAGTTGTGTCCCTGAAAAATCCTCCCTCTTGCCCCTTAGTGCTCACATGCTATTCCGTCGGAGCCTTAAGGGCTAGAAACTTGGCTTTAAAAAATTAACATCAAGGTTATCAGGACGCTGCTTTCTTGCCCCTCTTTTCTAAAGGCCTCACTCCCCATCCCCAGAATGCAAAACTCCTAGACCAACAAGCCTTTATTTGTGACACATAAGGGCTCGAATAGTGGCAAGAAGTGACTTGTGAAGAGAGTGCCATCAGCACAGCTGTGGAGAACTGGGGTGGGGGTAGAAAAGTGACAGCTGTGTGGCTTGAAGTCTGGGAGTATCTTTTCTCCAGGCTTTGGTGGGATATTTGCTGAATTGTCTCAGTAAACAGTGTGCTGTGATGGAGCTCCCTCCCTCACTAGAGTTGCCATAGGAGCAGGGTGTGAAATCAGAAAACAGGAATTTAACATCTTAAATTTAACTGAATTTTAACTTAAATTGTCAATCACACACACACACACAACCTTTTATTGGCATGAAAGCACAAAACATCATGGGGGAAATTGTCAATCTGTTAGCATCTTTTTAACGTTGAAATTGTTTTATGGTTTTAGAACTATTTAAATGTCTTATTGTTGTTTTTATTCTCTCTGTAAGCCGCCCTGAGCTTGCCGTGGTTGGGTAGGGTGGGGTATAAATGTAATAATAAATAAATAAAAGGAATGCCACCTTGTAGGGTGTCATATGGTTGTATTATTGGAGATAGCTGGGCAGGGAGCTCTGGCTAACTGAACGTCTAGGAAGTGGTGGGCACAGCAAGCAGAGGGTGCTGCCCTTTACACAGGATCAAACTTGCGAGCTAAGCTGCCTCTGAAAAATGGTTTCACTTGTTAGTTTGAGAAGATTAATTGTGATTTTCCTTTTTGGAGGGGGTGGGTGGGAAGGGATCCTTCTCTATTTGCAGAACATATTGAGCTGATGTAATATTTGGGGCTGGGGCTGAAGGAGCGAATGTTGATACATACTGAGCGTCTCTCTCCCTTTTAGGGATCACGAGGTTTGACCTGCTAGGTGACTTCGGGAGGTTTAACTGGCTGGGAAACTTCTACATTGTCTTTCTCTACAACATGCTCTTTGCTGGCCTCACGACTCTTTGCCTGGTGAAGAAATTCACCTGGGCTGTACAAGCTGAACTCATCCGGGCCTTCGGTAAGCACCCTTTTCCTCCAGACTTTCGGTGACGTTGGGGAGCAGGGCTGTTCAAGCTGATCTGCAACGAAGGGAGCATCCCCCTAGGCAGAAGGGGGAGGTCCCTCTGTGGCCAAATACTCTCTCCTTGGGTTTTGCTGTGCATAGTAAGCCCTGAAAGGTGCCTGGGACCAATGTTCCCTCTAAGGTGTGGAGTCTTGTGAGCAAAAATTCTACTTTGTGAGCTACTGGCATTAACGTTGTGAGCAAGCAATTTGGCTACTGCATAAATTAGTTTGTTCTGGAGTTCTCCTTCCAGAGCTGAGACAAAAAGGTGTGAGCCGGAGGCTAAAAAACAGTGAGCTAGCTCACAGTAACTCAGCTTAGAGGGAACATTGCCTGGGACTCTTCTGTGACCCTTCCAAGTAGAGCTGTCATTGCCCTAGCAAACCTTCCTGTCTCTCTATAGGCCAACTCAGATGCAGGAGTTTCCACAGATACATCTTCTGTCTGTCTCTTGTTTTGAGTTGGGCTCCCTGTTTTGGTGAAGGAGGGAGGTGAAAACTGAGGGCGCTTTCACGCCTGCTAACTAATGCGGTCTCGATCCACTTCAGCGACTGTTTGCAAGTGGATCTTGCCATTTCACACAGCAAAATCCAGTAGCAAAGTGCATTGAAAGTGCGTTACTTAGTGTGTCTGAAAGTGCTCTGACTGGGTCTTTGGCCCCCTCACCTGCTATCTCGTTCCTCCTAGGCCTCCACAAGCTGCCTTTGCCTGTGACACGGTCCCAGCAGCCGAGCAAACTCAGCTAGAACAATCGTCAGTGCCTGGATGAAGCCTGGGGCGAGGTGATGTTGGCCTGCCAGCTGCTGTGGGGACGTTCTGGACCTGGGCATCATGACTGTGCTTTCTACTCTGAGCCATGGTCCCTGCAGTAGGGAGAGGGCAGGGGGCATCTTGCTCTTGCCCGTGTTTGACCAATAACTTGACGAAACTTGAAGGATGGGGGGGGGACTGCGTTTGTAGGACCCCCCCCCCCCGCTTCTCACTGTGTCCCGGAAGCCTGAGGAGAGGATGGGCTTGAACCACCCGAAGAGACCTCACTGTCTTCCCTTCCCATCTGCCAAGGGAGCCTCTTCTATTTCCTCCTCATGAGCAAAGGACTGAAGCAACAGGGGACTGACTGTGGAGAAGGGGGCACTGAACTGTGCTGGAGAGACTCTGATGCGGAACTGGCCCTTGGGGTGATGTCGGGAGCAAAGCCCAAGGGCACTGGCCGATGGGCAAAAGTGCCTCGTGGCCCTTGTTTCGGCAGGGGGCACTGCAAATACCGCTTCTGCTCCTCTCCCATGTTTACACTGTCTCTTTTAAACCTCATGCCTTCCTTGCCCTCACTTCTGACACTAGATCCCGTAGCCTAAAACCCAGTCGGGGGAGGGGGTCACCTTTCCCCTTGAATCTTGAGCCAGTTCCAAATAGTAGTTTTGAACTCTGTTCCATGTTTACATACCTCACTTAAGTGCAATAGGAGCTGGTGCAGTTGGGCCAGATATCCCCTGCCTTTCCACTGAACTCTGTGCATGATGGGTGTGTGTGTGCTTTCAATATATACCTTTCTCTTCCATAACTGTGGGCATCAGTAATGCGGGCACATCCCCTCTCCTGATGCAAAACTTACTGATGCAAAACTGAGTAAGATCTATTGAGTGCTTCGCCTGCAAAAGCAGTCAATTGAGCACCACTGCTCTCCTGTTGTGTCCTTGCAGGGTAGCAAACCTGGGCTTTTCTGAAGCTGGTGTAGAGAGAGCAGGCCTTGTCTTGTACTCCAGCCCGCTGCCTTGTTACGAGAGAGCTTGATCCTGCAATGGAGGACTTTGTAGCCCTCTGCCTGGCGTTTCCCCCTTGGCCCTCCGGGAGCTGCTGGCTCTCGCAACAGCTCCATTATTGCGTGTGGGAAGAGGTGCAGGAAAGTTTGGGTCTCAAATGATATGGAGGTATTGTACTCAATCAGATGAACGGGTTAAGCATGCTAGAGAATTTTAATATGAAAGGATGTGAGGGGGGGGAGCTAGATTGTTGACACATGTCTGAAGCCATTCTACCTCTTCCTGCTTACAACAAGCAAACACGAGCTCATCTTAGTTGTACCGACACAGTTGTGGATCCATTGCGTGCTTCTTCTGAGTATCTGTTAACAATGACTAGAATCCCAGGTCGGGATTCCCCAGTTTGTACCAGCCTATGTTGAACAACGCAAAGATGAGCAAGTTTAATTCCCAAATTAAAAGGAAAGGATAGACTATACAAATTAGGCTGAGGAAATGGGGAAAGGGCAGGTGTCCTGCTGGCTACTGCAGATGGCAGTTGCTATGCCCTCCGTGTAGAGAATGTATGTGTAGAGAGTGGTTGGTGGGTCGTGTCTTTTGGTAGGAGTTGTTCCTCTTTCTGTCCTTTCCACTGTGTTTGTAGTACTGTTGTCCTGCTCTGTGTGTGTGTGTGTGTGTGTTGCTGCCAGGGTTCAGGTGCCAGTGTAAGACTGTAACTTTCCTTTCCGTGTCTGCAATACAAGCAAAAAGTTTGCCTCAAGGCAGCAGCCCTCCCAAACAGCTCCTGAGTGCCCCTTGCAGCTGATTTGGAGAATTACAGGTTATCAAACCCAGATGCAATGTAAGGCATCTGTAATCTATGCTTAACTGTACAGCTGGAATTTAAGAGGGCTGAGTGTTTAAGCCCTGCGTCCTCCATACCGCCTAGCATTGGATAGGAAGAGAGATGTGCGCCGTGAATTTTTTTTTTGTTTCACGAGCACATAGCATTGTAGGTCCCACTGCAGTATGTGCATGTGGTGGCAACATAACTGAAGAACTGTGAACCTGCCTGTATTTTGCTTTGGTTGCACATTATACATCTCCGGCTTCAGTTACTGCACTGTTCTTGGGGCTCTCACCCATTTAAGCAATAAATTGCCTGGTTGGGGTTTTTTTTCCACTTCGCACTGGTTCCTGTATATGGTGTTCTGCTGCAGTAGGTGAGGACAGCGGGGGACACTTCGCTTCACACCCTGAGCATTCTGGGCTGTAGACTTGTGGAGCTTGATGACTTTTCACACTCGAATGGCCTTTGGAGCCCCTCTTGTTCTCTTCATGTGCTCATCTTGTCATTACTAATGGGGGAGGGAGAATTGTAATGCCCATGAGATTCTGGTTGGTAGACATACTTTTTTTTTGCATGTCAAATTGATTGGAACAAAAACTGCTTTAAGGCAAGAAGATACTATATAGTGAATTGGTCTTACCAGGACCAAAACTTGCTTTGTTCTCTAAAACTGCGTATTTGAAGGATTCAGCCCTCTACAGTGGATTACGACAAATTGATAGAGCACGTGTGTGTGTGTGTTAATTACCGTCAAGTTGCTTCTGACTTACAGCAACCATACAAATTAATGGCTGAAACATAACTTACAGTAAAATCAGCATGCCTCCAAAATTACTGCAACCACCTTAGTTCATAATACAGTACTGGCATAGTCTGCACTTCCTTCCAGGGCTCTTTTTCTGGGGGAACGTGCTGGAATGGAGTTCCAGAACCTCTTTGATGAAATTATTTTTAAATTGTTTGAAAGTTCATGAATTTTCAGTACACAAATTGAAAACTTCATTTCCCTCGAGAGTTCCAGCACCTCTTTTTCAAAAGGAGCCCTGCTCAAACCCCATACCTTGCTTTAACCAGAATGGTCATCAACGTGAAGGACTCACACAAGCTTCCTTTGTGAGGGTGTCATACAGCCTTCCTTTTGAGAAGGTCCTGTGTCCCTCCGTCTGTGCTTGGTGTGCAGGAGAAAACAATTACTGTCTCAGGCAGCAAATGCTGGAGTAAGAAGGAAGACAATGGACTCCATAGCTTAACTGATTCAAGTGTTTTATTTGACAACTAGGAAAAAGGCCCGTTGTGGAAATAAATACAACGGCCTCTAGAAAGAGGCTCTGGGCGGGTGCCCTGACCTTGGACACTCAGCGTCAATTTGCTGTGGCGTCCTCAGCAGGGTATAATGACACTGAGTCCACCATTTTCTCCAGAGGAACTGATCTCTGCTACCTAAAGAACAGTTGTAATTTTGAGTGATCTCCAGCCCTCACCTGGAGATTGGCAACAATGGTTCCCTAGAATGGTTGGCTTGGAGGGTGGAGTCTATGGCTTTGTACCTGTCCGAGGTCCCACGCCTCCTGAAACCTCACCCTCTCCAGGTTCCATCCCTCACCTCTCCAGGAATTTCCCACCTGGAGTTGGCAACCCTATCTCCTTCCCAGCCAATCATCAAACTACCTTTATTTCCCCCTCACTCTTCAGCTTTCCACCCTCCACACACCTGCAGCCTCTCCCGTGCTCTGAAGCCCTGACTGCTACGTCACATTGGCTGTCATATGGGGGCCACCTCAGCAGCATATAAGGATACAGAGCCGACCATTTTCTCCAGGGGAACTGATCTCTGCCATCTGGAAAGTAGTTGTAATTCTGAGTGATCTCCAGCCCTCACCTGGAGATTGGACACATGTTACCTCAGAACAGCAAACTGCTTAGAATGTTAGAGGCAAAAACCAATCAAGTCGCATATGCAAACGACCTCTGTTCCGAGGCAAAGGCCAATGAGGCTGCATATGCAAATAACCTCTGTGTTCTGACTGGCTATGGGGGGGAGAGGAACAGCAAACTGTTTAGAATGTTGGAGGCGAGACTCAAGCAATGCAGCCAGTGGATAGGGACAGATTCTGAGTGACACACCAGGATGCCAACCAATTCCAGAGCGTGTGGAATGTTCTAGAGAAGTGCCACCACCATTTGGCTTTTATATATAAGGGAGATAATTAGAGGAATGCTTAGCAATGGTAAAATGCTAAAAGGAAGAAAAAAAGAACTCACAGACCGAGTGGAGATGTGTACATTGCAAACAAAGCTGCGAGCTATATGATAAAAACATAAAAGCCTGTGGTTACATGGAAATACAACTAACTTGAAACTATAGTTTTGTTTTGCCTCCCTGGATGCCCTCCTGCCCATTCTAATTTAAAGCAAAGTAACCTAAATTACTCTATGAAATGGTTCTTAGACCTTTCCCTGAGATCTTGGAGAATCGCTTGCCAGTCAGATTGGACAGTACCAATCTGGACAGAGCAAGGGTCTGAGATTCAGTACTGAGGCACCTTTGTCCATTTGTGGTTGCTCAGTAACAGAGCTCTGACCCTTGGCATGTTCTCACTATGGTGTGCCTTCTGGTGAGCAGCTTGCGTTGCTTGTCTGCGGCTCTTTATGTCTGCTGCCCACACTCCTTGCCTTAACAGCCGTGCGATCATAACTCTGGTCGTAGTCCCCCCCCCTTTTCTGTCACGTGATGTCACATGCTTGCAGTTCAGTAGGCACCAGGTCTCAAAAGGCTGAAGAGTGCTATTGTAGAAGACAGCTTGCTCTACACTCTTGTTCTGAGGCACAGTATAAAAACTGCAGTTTGCCCTTCCTTCTTCTGTGGGAGTGGGCTGCTGGGAAGCTTGAACTCTTGTCGTCATCAGCATGTTTGGGATAGGTCACTCTGGCAGCTAGCAAAAAGAGATGGCACTCTGGCAGCTAGCAAAAAGAGATGGCACTTTCCACCATCACTGCCTTCAAGCCCAGCACTTGTTAGAGCTAAGACAGGCAAGGCAAAAGGGTCTCCACAGCTGGGCTGTGACTTAATGGGGACCTAAAGTGGCTGGCAAGAAGAAAAAGAACAGATTGGATTTATACCCTGCCCTTCATTTGGAGTGTCAGAGCATCTTACAATTTCCTTTCCCTTGCCCTCCCCATAACAGACACCCTGTGTGGTAGGTGGAGCTGAGAGAGCTCTTTTGAGAACTGCTCTTTCCAGAGCAGCTCTGAGAGAACTGTGACTGACCCAAGGTCACACCAGCAGCTGCATGTGAAGGAGTGGGGAATCAAACCTGGTTCTCCCAGATTAAAGTCTTAACCACTACACCAAAATGTGGCAGAGAGGGATTCATACTAGAGTCTCCTACCTTCTTCTCTGACTCTGTAACTGGTACCTCTGTTCATCCTCTTCACCTCCCATTTCTATTTTTCTGAAACCCTTCCTCCAGTGACCTCAGGGGGGCGCCTGTGAGTTTTCTTGCCTGTTCCTTATTCAACAAGACGGTGAGGAACCGGGGCTGAGAGAAAGCCACTGGCTCGGGATCATCTTGCGCGCTCCCTAACAGACTGGGGGTGTATATAGGTGAAGGCAACCGAGTTTCAGATGGTAGGAAGTGAAGCTCTAGCCTACCTCTGCAGTGTGCCCACTCCGTGGTGACCTACTGATCCTGACTCCCAACCGCAACCTGACCTTCCCCGCGTGAAGAAGGGCGTGTAGATCTGGATGAGGCGAAAGGAGGAGAATGTGGTGCGGAGGGGAGGGGGGAATTACATTGATGACAGGAGGAGTGAGAGGGTCTGTGTCCCTTAGGCTCCCTTCTGCTGCGGGAGGAGAGAAGATGCTTCTAAGGCCAGATCCACAACCCCTTTTTGACCAGCCTTGACCTGTCCAAACGCGGACGCTGCCATGAGGGGGAAATAGGTCTCGCCTCTCCATCAGGGGGCGCCGTTGAGACAGTTAAAGGGAAAGGGGCGCTGAGCCAAAGGAGTGCGCTCCGGCTAGGTGGCGCACGGCGGCAGCAGGAGGGGGGTGTGCGCATGTGGGGTGGGGGGGGGGGGGGGGGGGGGGAGATGACTGCCGGGCATGGGCCCGTGGCTGGCGCTGCGTGTGGGGGCGGCACAGTCCCTCGTGGAGGGCTGGATTAAAAGGCGGAGCTGGGCTGCAGGAACTTCGGAGGAGCGCGGCTGAGTTGCCTCGCGTCGCCAAGGCCGGGACCGGCTGGAGAAAGGAGGCGCGGCGCTGCTCCATCGCCCGGCGCTCTTGGGCTTCTGCCTCACGGGGCGCAGTTTGGCGCTAGGGGAGGGGTGTGTGTGTGCACCGCGTCGGCTCTTTGCAGGGCAGCGGCTGGTCTCTACCAGACGGTGCTGGTAGGTGGCGGTGGTTGACTTTAGAGGACTCTGCAGGTTGGCACCGAGAGGGGCCAGAGTTGCCCCGGGGGCACCAGTGAGCGGGATCGCATCAGGAGCGCGCAGA